AGTCACTGAAAGTATAGATATAAAAATAAGTAGAATATATAATATAGAATATAGAAAGTAGATATAAAAATAATTATATTTACACAATTTTAATAAAATATCCAAACTAAAATAATATATCAAAAATTATATTTTATATTGTTATAGTCTATTGTTTGTACAGTAAGGAAAATAACATTTCATATCATTTCATAAAATTTAATCATGCATACCATCTCTTCCTTCTCCTTGTGCAACTACTCTTGGATCCACATATTCAGGTCGTCGACCTATTAACCAACTAGTAAATTTCTGGACAAGTGATGATGATTCAGGCACAAACATGGGAATTCTTCGATAATGACTGTTTAGTACATGAAACAAAGAGAAAAATTCCAATCTTATATCTTAAAATGATTAATTAAATGTGTATTAAAATTCATATAAATTAATTTTTTTAAATGATATTAACAGGCAATTTCATAAAAGGTAAATACCTTTTATGAAATTGCCTGTTAATACTTTTTAAATATAAATTTAAGAATGAATCAATCTTTCAAAAAAAAAAAATGCAGTTAGAGATATAATGAACCAATCTTTCTTTAAAGTTATGTGAAATACAAATAATTTATTAATTTTTAACGTTTTTCTATAAAATTGCAATTTAGTTCATACATCTGTCTTCAATAGAATCGCTAATATACTGATATATTAAATTTGTTATAAAATTTTACCTGAGGGTTATCAATTTTAATATAATTGATTATTTAAATTTTTACAAGAGAAGATTTTATTGTTATCTGAATAATAAAAATTTATGTTTAAATATCAAATAATAGAATTTGTGTTTAAATTAAGATTAAACTGTTAATATCCAGCAAAAGATTTAAAGAACAAACAACTGTTTTCAGCTACATTTAGTAGCCATCATCAGGTTGCACATTAAGATTCTATAATTTTAGAACATCATGGTAAGCATGATTTAGCACACAACACTGAAGTTATGTAAAAAAAAAAATAAGTTTAATACTTTTTATATAAATTTTCATTCATTTTCTAAATTTTACTTCAATATATATACTAGTATATTTTAACATTCTACGAACACAGACAAATTATTCACCAAAACAGTTCTGAAACAAAAACAGATATGCTTTATTACATTTTAAATAATCAAAACAATTACTATATTTCCCTGTTATATTAAATAATTCTAGATGATTCTACTGGTACATTTAAAACAAAACAAATTGCAATTGAAAACTAATTTTGAAACTTATGTTAAACAATTAGAAATGATACAATAATAGTTAAATTATAATTACTGTAATGTTGTAATAATTATTGATACTAGTATTTCTTGTCTTTTGTTCATATTCTGGTTTACTAAATTATTTGCAATGACTATCTAAAATCCCATTATTCTTACAATTAATAATTTCTTAAACAATTCTCTTTTCAACAATATCTAATATCTCTGCCATCTTTGTTTCTTTCAATTAAAACTTTTAAACAGTATTTTCATCCATAAACTTCTAAATTTTTCTTGAAAAACACTACAGAAACTGTTGTAATGAACATCTTATCTTTATACAAGGGCAGTTTTTTCAAGCTCCAATGGTCCATAAAACAAAGACAAGTGTAAATAACAAAATGAATTTATTACCAAAAGTTAGGTACAAAATGGTTACTTTTCGACATAATCATCATGAAGATTGAGGCATTTGTCATATCTGTGGATGAGCTTTGCAATTCCCTCTTCATAGAATGTTGTCGCCAGTGAATTGAGATGGCTTTAACAACGTTGTTTTGAAGAGCGTCATTAGTTCATTAGTCTCAAACTTTTGCCCTGCTGGCCATGTTTTCAGTTCAGGAAAGAGATGGAAGTCTTCACACATTAAAAAGTTTTAAGCTGGTTAGAAGTCTTCACCACCTTTAAACACGCAGCGTACTGTATAGCCCTAATTTAGCACCAAGCAACTTCCACCTCTTTCCTGAACAGGAAAAGTGGCTAGGAGGGCAAAGGTTCAAGACTAATGATAATCTTCAAAAAAATGTTAGGGCCCATCTCAAGTCATTGGTGGCAAAATTCTATGACAAGGGGATGGAAAAGCATGTCCACAGATATGACAAATGCCTCAATCTTCACAGTAATTACGTTGAAAAGTAACCATGTTTGTAACTTTTGGTAATAAATTCATTTTTTACACTTGTCTTTTTTTTTATGGACCATTGGAGCTTAAAAAAACAGCCTAAGTAGATATAATATATTCAAGCAATTTTTCTTTAACAGATATTGAAGGGTTCAGGTGTAAGTACCATTCATTAGCACATTATAATGTGCTAACAGCTAAACAGTAAATGTATTTCAATTTAAATATTATATCTACTTTTTACTATAACATGCACTTTATTCTGACTAAAGAAAACAAAATAGAAAACTTCTGTGAAAACCCAGGCTAGCATTTTGGTAATTTAGACAATTTTAATTATTTAATGTTTGTTCAAAGAGATAAAAAAAATCATTTAAGCCCAAGATGACAAATAAAACTGAGAAAGTTCACAAGATTTGTCTCTTTGATAACATTTCCTTTGTAATTGACACATCTTCTGGTAAAATCTACTCATCAGAGGAAATATTACCTAAAATTAGGATTTGGACTATCACCCAGCACCCTTCATAAATTCACCAAATTTAGGCATAGGAATGGGGGGCAAGACCCCAAGTAAAAAGGATAGGTGAGAGAAGGTCTTGGAGAGAGTTTGCCCATTCATTCATCAAGGTGGTGACCATCCACTATAGTGTTCAGCCACTGCTGACCTTCTTGGTTTCCTGCTTGTCCATCAATCCCTCACTGATCCATACCAGAGGGGATAATTGCACTGTTCACTTTTGGATTTATGTGTGCTGACCCTCTACAAGTCAAAACTGTTTAAGTATTTCCAAAGAGCAGACCTGTCTACAGTTGCACCAAGCTCCATGAATACCTCCACTTGGACCAAGGAACTCGATCCAATGACTTATTTTCTTCAACACTGGAATAGAGACTTCTCCCTGTTGAGACCCAATACAAGTCCTGGCCAGAGATCACTGGATATCAAAGTGACACCATAGGTATTTATTGTTGTGTGCTTATGTGTAAACTCTCTCTTGATAGGTGCATGAGAACTTTAGTAGTTTATACTTGTATTTAGTATTAGTTTGAGAAAAATAAACATTTGTTTAACTGTTAATTGTGTAGTGCTAAGCAACTTTTTTTTGTACTGTATATTAATTTTTATACTCATTTTTCGTTATACATGTCGGGTTTTTGTTTTGTCACACGTGAATATAATTTTTCCATCATGTCGCATGCCACCTTTTGAAAATGGGTGTGCTTGGTTGACTGTTGGTTGGCTGTTCAAGGGACATGTGATAGGAGATGGAAGTTCTGGACAGTGGGAAATATAAAAGGAAAGGACACCACAAGAATGGTTATCTTTTGTTACCTGTGTGTTCTGGAGTACTTTGACTGGACCAAGGAGGAGAATAAGGATAAGAAGGAAGGTAAGGGTTGCCATATATGCCACTGAGGAACTATAGAAGATTAGGGAGACAGTGGAGAAAATCCATTTGCATCAGTGTAAAGACAATACAAGGAGCAAAATCTCCATTTAGAGAAGAGGAATCTTTATAGGTTAGAGTCCCTTATTACCGTATTTTTAGTGGTTAGTAACATTTACTGACATGTGATCATCAGCCTTTTGTTATGGGATATGGGCTATTGCATGGTTATGAAGAATTGTACACAAGCAGGTCAACAATGTATACTTTCCCTGTAAAATATATTGTAAAAATTAACCATCGGATTTGTAATTAGTTAGTAAGTGAGCAGATAATAATATAATTATTATTTTGGCATAATTAATTGCTACATGACTGATAATTATTGAAACGCTATCATCTGTTGTTTAATGTATGTACAGTAAGACCCCGCTTAACGCTGATTCGATATAATGTGGTCTTCTCGAAGCCTAAAAAAAAGCTCAAAATTTACACTGATTTAAATTATCACGGCATTTCACTGATTCGTATATAATACAATTATCTGCGAACACAAATCAATCAGCAAAAGGTGGCAAAAAGGTGTACTTTCTTTAAATCTATGTTTGTTTGGTGCATTTTTTGGGAAAAATATAACATCATGGATGCTATAGGAAATATCAACTTTGCTTGGCAAGAATTAACTGATAAATGCACAAACGAAGAGTGGAAGAAGTTATGGCTGAAGGTATCCAAGAATTCTCAACGAGAAGAGCCTATCATTAGGTTGACCAAACTTAACCTAATTGATACAGCAGGACTAGGAAATGTAGATGAGCAGGATATTGAAAAGTTACAGCAGGTTTCTGGTGAAAACCTTACTAATGACGACCTTCAAGAACTGGCAGAACATGGAATTCACGTGGAACTGGAAAATAGAGATTCTGAAAACGAAGAACCCAAAAAATTTCTCTACAAATTTCCTTAGTAAAAGTTTGGTAAGATAACCAAAATCATTGATCAAATTGTAGTGAATGATCTAGATTTTGAAAGGAGTGCAAAAGCAAAATGAGGCATTTTGGATGCAATCTTCTGCTACCAACATTTGCTTAAGGAAAGAAAAGAGCAACAAATGAAACTTCACAACTTTATTGCAAAAAACAAGAATTTCAGAAAAGTCAGAACCTTCATCACAAAAAATGAACTTTACGTTTCTGTGTGCATATGTTTATGTTTTATTTAACATATATTATTATGCAAATTAATATAAAAATAACTTAAAATGAAAGTAAAATCTATTTATGTTTGGTCGCGTGTTTCCCTTTTCCTATTTACTATATGTTAAAATGACCTCGTTTAACGCTGTTTCGNATATATTTTTTAATAAAATTTTATCCATTTACGTAAGCTTAAATATATGTAACAGATACAAAAACGTAACAAGTATCTACGGAAAAGGTTGCGAGTAACGTAATGGAGGGAAGTAATAAACACTTACATGCTTCCAGTCTTAATGCTCCACTTTTGACACTTTATATTTAAGATATGTATAGAAGGTTGATTAAATATTTGTACATTTATAGGAAGGTGAAATTAGTCGATTCTCTTCTCCCGTAACTGTAGTCACTCGGTTACGACAGCTCGTCGAATGGTATATATTTGTTCACATATTGTTTCTAGTCTCGGTCAACAGGTGACACGTTTCGTTGCTTTATAACGTGTCGCCTTCTGTCGAGTGTTTTTGTAACTCGATAGTTACATGCCTGTTACGCAGTTTAAAAAATTTTTATCTACGCGTCGTTGTAAATTTAATTTGGAATCGGAGTGACGCTTATTTTATCTAATGTATTCAACGATTAATATTATATTTTTTTATTCTATTTTACTATGTTACTTGTTAAATTCTGTTTTACGCTTTTCTCTGTTCTAGTAGTACAATTTATGAACTAAAACATGGGAAATTTTCTTACTAATTTATTCTAGTTTAGTAATTTCACTTGGAAAAACTGATTTAAAACGATATCTTATTTTTTTTATCATTTATATTTATATATGCATCCAAAAATATTTTTATTTGTTGATTGTTGTACAACTTAAATTATATATATTTAGCATCCTAAAAATTACAATTGTCTGTCCGTCACGCTATATCTTGAAAATCACTCCCCAAATAATGTTTGTACACGTGAGAAAGTGTCACCATAGAAACGTCAACCATTTTGTTTCAAAATGGTTGAAGTTTCTATGGTGACTTGAGAATATTAAAATATGAAAAATAAATTTAAATAAGAACATTTGTACAGTATTATTTTTAAAATTAAAGACATTTAAATACTGTATTCTCATTACCCATTATATAAAATTAATTTAAGGATCTTTAATGTAATAAATATAAATTATTTTAAAAGGTTTTTTCCATATTTTCATGACTTTTGAAGCTTGAAAATCTAGATTTAGAAATTTTTTTGATTCTTTTCGTCTTATGTTTCTCCAGAAAGTTAACTTAAAAACTGGATATATTTTGATCTTAATCTCATCTTATTTCATAATTTTGAGTTTTTGAAGGTACTGCATTATATTTATATAGAAGAAGCTGAAAATTTCTTCTATGTAATTATTACTTCCTCAAGAAAAATATGAAAATTTGTTAAATTATTCCCTTTGTCTAAATAAATGTTAGATTTAAAAATTTTATTACTTTGCAACATCAAATTATTTTAATGGAAAGATCAACAATTTTCTTCTTAAGAATCTCTACAGAATTTATTTGCTTTAACAGTTATATTACACATTCTGAAAAACTTTTCATATTAAATTCTTTTTCTTAAAATTGAAATTTCAGCTTCATATTTATTTTAAGCAAAATGGATTTCCTTCTTTATCATCTTGTTTTACATACTCAGAAGTGCCTATGTAATCATTACCTTTAGAAGAAATTCTAGCATTAATTTCTTTTATAGGATTTTTATCTTTAGAAATAAAACTGCATGTATTTAATTTCAGAATAATTTTCATAAATTTTAAAGTAATTCATTCCAATGTTTGTTATCTAATAGTTCCTTTTAAAATAATATAATATTTCTGTTGTTGCAAGAAAATATAATTTTAATTCTTTTAGTAGAAAATTTTTTTTAAAAAAATTAAGAATTTAATTTTTTATTTAATACATACATGTAATATCTTTACAATAGATATCAAAGGTGTGTTTTTATTGTCATTCCTTCTACCTTTAGAATGTTTGTATATAATAATATAAGAAAATATATTTTATATTTTAGAATAAATTTTTCGAAAACAACACAGTCAAAAATGTGTGTTAATTCCAATATATTTTTCTAGATAATAAAATTTATCAATTATTATCAATATGTCTGCACACATTTATCAAATTATTAGATTAAGATTTTCAAACTTTCACAGTATGTTCCAATTATAGAGAATAACTGAAACAAAACGTTATAACAGAAAACACATTTTCTTTTTATCCAGCAAATGAATTTAATGAATTAATAACATTTTTGACTTCTCTTTTTATAGGTCTTCCTCAGTTACAAACTAAATAACTGCAATATATTTTGTTATATATGTGTGTGTAGTGTATTTTTATGTATATTGCTTTGGGTATATTATATATTTATTTATTTTAGTTACATGTTTGTTATTTTAAATTATTTTCTCATTGGTTTATGTTAAATTTCATATTTTATTCTTTTTGACATCCAAAATCAGTTATACAGTCGACTCCCTATAACACTGTTGATAATTCCGTTTTATATGAATTCCATGTTGTACGAGTCACTTAGATTTCACAAATATGTCAGCCGTTCACAGCCCGGCACACCTATTTGTAAAATCTAAGTGACTCGTACAACAGGGAATTCATATAAAACAGAATAATGAACAATGTTATAGGGGGGTCAACTGTATATTCAATCTCTTAAGTTACCTTAATTATGAATACAGTAGAGCGTCGTTTATCCGAATCAATTAGGGACTGGGGTTGTTCAGATACCTTATTTTTCGGATAACCGATTATGTACGAAAAAATATATTAACCTATCCCATCCTGAAATTTTTCTCCGTTGCGCGTCGCTTTGCGTTGAATTTTCGTCGATGTTAAACCTAACGTAAACTTTTTAAAATAATAATCGTGACTATTGTATCGTTAAAAATTATTTCTTTATTTTGTACAAACAAAATAAATATATTGAAAAATATAAAAACAATAAAAAATTATACTTCAGAAGTTAATTTAGTATCAAAAACGTAAAATATTTGAGTAGCCCAATACATAACCAAAGATTGCAGCGCCACAGCACTAGCAAAAATTTAAATTTGCCAACTGGAATTATTTCGGATAACCGACGTTTCAGATAACTGACTTTTGGATAAACGACGCTCTACTGTACCTATAAAAACAGAGATAAAAAACTATTAATTCATAAAATTTGTTTACTGGATAAAAAGATGTGATGCTTTCTGTTATTTCAGTGATCCTCATTCAGTTTCTATATATATTATTTGCAAAACTTTATTTGAAGTTACAAGAAATGACACCTAATTTCAGCTAAAACTGTATAAAAAACTTAATGTTAGAATTACATTAAAAAATTGCCAAAATGCATAATTTTTAAATATAATTATTTATTCTTATATAAATTCTTATATTCCAAAGGTTTGATGCAAATTTTATTTATTTAAAAACTAAATAAAATTCACATTAAAATTTTTCAGTTCATTTTGTAAAAATTAATTTGTAGCCATATTTAATTTGTAATTTCTTTAAATTTAACTATCAAAAGCTTCTATGTTAGTTCTAAAACTTAAATTACAGTTTAATCAAAAAAACTTGTATATTTATTTAATTATAAAATCTTTTAAAAATATAAGAATCAGTTTGTTAATGTTCTTGGGATTCTTGGGTATACATTAAAAATGTAAATTTTAATGTTTACAATATTTATCATAAATCAGTTTAATCTTTCTATTTATGTTTTTGATAAAATTAAACTCAATCTTTACTATAATAAAAACAATAATTTATTCATAAAATATTTTGACATACTTTCATCAAAATTTAAAAAAGTTTTTTTCATTTTAATCTTTTATGATATAAAGCACAACAATATTATTTTGTTGTGCTTTATCATTCTGCTTCATACAAATTACCTCGAACCATTGTTGTAACCCATTTTTGCCATATCTTTAACAATCACATTGAACTGTACAGTTACACATCCTTGAGAACGAACTCTAGTCACTGAAAGTATAGATATAAAAATAATTATATTTACACAATTTTAATAAAATATCCAAACTAAAATAATATATCAAAAATTATATTTTATATTGTTATAGTCTATTGTTTGTACAGTAAGGAAAATAACATTTCATATCATTTCATAAAATTTAATCATGCATACCATCTCTTCCTTCTCCTTGTGCAACTACTCTTGGATCCACATATTCAGGTCGTCGACCTATTAACCAACTAGTAAATTTCTGGACAAGTGATGATGATTCAGGCACAAACATGGGAATTCTTCGATAATGACTGTTTAGTACATGAAACAAAGAGAAAAATTCCAATCTTATATCTTAAAATGATTAATTAAATGTGTATTAAAATTCATATAAATTAATTTTTTTAAATGATATTAACAGGCAATTTCATAAAAGGTAAATACCTTTTATGAAATTGCCTGTTAATACTTTTTAAATATAAATTTAAGAATGAATCAATCTTTCAAAAAAAAAAAATGCAGTTAGAGATATAATGAACCAATCTTTCTTTAAAGTTATGTGAAATACAAATAATTTATTAATTTTTAACGTTTTTCTATAAAATTGCAATTTAGTTCATACATCTGTCTTCAATAGAATCGCTAATATACTGATATATTAAATTTGTTATAAAATTTTACCTGAGGGTTATCAATTTTAATATAATTGATTATTTAAATTTTTACAAGAGAAGATTTTATTGTTATCTGAATAATAAAAATTTATGTTTAAATATCAAATAATAGAATTTGTGTTTAAATTAAGATTAAACTGTTAATATCCAGCAAAAGATTTAAAGAACAAACAACTGTTTTCAGCTACATTTAGTAGCCATCATCAGGTTGCACATTAAGATTCTATAATTTTAGAACATCATGGTAAGCATGATTTAGCACACAACACTGAAGTTATGTAAAAAAAAAAATAAGTTTAATACTTTTTATATAAATTTTCATTCATTTTCTAAATTTTACTTCAATATATATACTAGTATATTTTAACATTCTACGAACACAGACAAATTATTCACCAAAACAGTTCTGAAACAAAAACAGATATGCTTTATTACATTTTAAATAATCAAAACAATTACTATATTTCCCTGTTATATTAAATAATTCTAGATGATTCTACTGGTACATTTAAAACAAAACAAATTGCAATTGAAAACTAATTTTGAAACTTATGTTAAACAATTAGAAATGATACAATAATAGTTAAATTATAATTACTGTAATGTTGTAATAATTATTGATACTAGTATTTCTTGTCTTTTGTTCATATTCTGGTTTACTAAATTATTTGCAATGACTATCTAAAATCCCATTATTCTTACAATTAATAATTTCTTAAACAATTCTCTTTTCAACAATATCTAATATCTCTGCCATCTTTGTTTCTTTCAATTAAAACTTTTAAACAGTATTTTCATCCATAAACTTCTAAATTTTTCTTGAAAAACACTACAGAAACTGTTGTAATGAACATCTTATCTTTATACAAGGGCAGTTTTTTCAAGCTCCAATGGTCCATAAAACAAAGACAAGTGTAAATAACAAAATGAATTTATTACCAAAAGTTAGGTACAAAATGGTTACTTTTCGACATAATCATCATGAAGATTGAGGCATTTGTCATATCTGTGGATGAGCTTTGCAATTCCCTCTTCATAGAATGTTGTCGCCAGTGAATTGAGATGGCTTTAACAACGTTGTTTTGAAGAGCGTCATTAGTTCATTAGTCTCAAACTTTTGCCCTGCTGGCCATGTTTTCAGTTCAGGAAAGAGATGGAAGTCTTCACACATTAAAAAGTTTTAAGCTGGTTAGAAGTCTTCACCACCTTTAAACACGCAGCGTACTGTATAGCCCTAATTTAGCACCAAGCAACTTCCACCTCTTTCCTGAACAGGAAAAGTGGCTAGGAGGGCAAAGGTTCAAGACTAATGATAATCTTCAAAAAAATGTTAGGGCCCATCTCAAGTCATTGGTGGCAAAATTCTATGACAAGGGGATGGAAAAGCATGTCCACAGATATGACAAATGCCTCAATCTTCACAGTAATTACGTTGAAAAGTAACCATGTTTGTAACTTTTGGTAATAAATTCATTTTTTACACTTGTCTTTTTTTTTATGGACCATTGGAGCTTAAAAAAACAGCCTAAGTAGATATAATATATTCAAGCAATTTTTCTTTAACAGATATTGAAGGGTTCAGGTGTAAGTACCATTCATTAGCACATTATAATGTGCTAACAGCTAAACAGTAAATGTATTTCAATTTAAATATTATATCTACTTTTTACTATAACATGCACTTTATTCTGACTAAAGAAAACAAAATAGAAAACTTCTGTGAAAACCCAGGCTAGCATTTTGGTAATTTAGACAATTTTAATTATTTAATGTTTGTTCAAAGAGATAAAAAAAATCATTTAAGCCCAAGATGACAAATAAAACTGAGAAAGTTCACAAGATTTGTCTCTTTGATAACATTTCCTTTGTAATTGACACATCTTCTGGTAAAATCTACTCATCAGAGGAAATATTACCTAAAATTAGGATTTGGACTATCACCCAGCACCCTTCATAAATTCACCAAATTTAGGCATAGGAATGGGGGGCAAGACCCCAAGTAAAAAGGATAGGTGAGAGAAGGTCTTGGAGAGAGTTTGCCCATTCATTCATCAAGGTGGTGACCATCCACTATAGTGTTCAGCCACTGCTGACCTTCTTGGTTTCCTGCTTGTCCATCAATCCCTCACTGATCCATACCAGAGGGGATAATTGCACTGTTCACTTTTGGATTTATGTGTGCTGACCCTCTACAAGTCAAAACTGTTTAAGTATTTCCAAAGAGCAGACCTGTCTACAGTTGCACCAAGCTCCATGAATACCTCCACTTGGACCAAGGAACTCGATCCAATGACTTATTTTCTTCAACACTGGAATAGAGACTTCTCCCTGTTGAGACCCAATACAAGTCCTGGCCAGAGATCACTGGATATCAAAGTGACACCATAGGTATTTATTGTTGTGTGCTTATGTGTAAACTCTCTCTTGATAGGTGCATGAGAACTTTAGTAGTTTATACTTGTATTTAGTATTAGTTTGAGAAAAATAAACATTTGTTTAACTGTTAATTGTGTAGTGCTAAGCAACTTTTTTTTGTACTGTATATTAATTTTTATACTCATTTTTCGTTATACATGTCGGGTTTTTGTTTTGTCACACGTGAATATAATTTTTCCATCATGTCGCATGCCACCTTTTGAAAATGGGTGTGCTTGGTTGACTGTTGGTTGGCTGTTCAAGGGACATGTGATAGGAGATGGAAGTTCTGGACAGTGGGAAATATAAAAGGAAAGGACACCACAAGAATGGTTATCTTTTGTTACCTGTGTGTTCTGGAGTACTTTGACTGGACCAAGGAGGAGAATAAGGATAAGAAGGAAGGTAAGGGTTGCCATATATGCCACTGAGGAACTATAGAAGATTAGGGAGACAGTGGAGAAAATCCATTTGCATCAGTGTAAAGACAATACAAGGAGCAAAATCTCCATTTAGAGAAGAGGAATCTTTATAGGTTAGAGTCCCTTATTACCGTATTTTTAGTGGTTAGTAACATTTACTGACATGTGATCATCAGCCTTTTGTTATGGGATATGGGCTATTGCATGGTTATGAAGAATTGTACACAAGCAGGTCAACAATGTATACTTTCCCTGTAAAATATATTGTAAAAATTAACCATCGGATTTGTAATTAGTTAGTAAGTGAGCAGATAATAATATAATTATTATTTTGGCATAATTAATTGCTACATGACTGATAATTATTGAAACGCTATCATCTGTTGTTTAATGTATGTACAGTAAGACCCCGCTTAACGCTGATTCGATATAATGTGGTCTTCTCGAAGCCTAAAAAAAAGCTCAAAATTTACACTGATTTAAATTATCACGGCATTTCACTGATTCGTATATAATACAATTATCTGCGAACACAAATCAATCAGCAAAAGGTGGCAAAAAGGTGTACTTTCTTTAAATCTATGTTTGTTTGGTGCATTTTTTGGGAAAAATATAACATCATGGATGCTATAGGAAATATCAACTTTGCTTGGCAAGAATTAACTGATAAATGCACAAACGAAGAGTGGAAGAAGTTATGGCTGAAGGTATCCAAGAATTCTCAACGAGAAGAGCCTATCATTAGGTTGACCAAACTTAACCTAATTGATACAGCAGGACTAGGAAATGTAGATGAGCAGGATATTGAAAAGTTACAGCAGGTTTCTGGTGAAAACCTTACTAATGACGACCTTCAAGAACTGGCAGAACATGGAATTCACGTGGAACTGGAAAATAGAGATTCTGAAAACGAAGAACCCAAAAAATTTCTCTACAAATTTCCTTAGTAAAAGTTTGGTAAGATAACCAAAATCATTGATCAAATTGTAGTGAATGATCTAGATTTTGAAAGGAGTGCAAAAGCAAAATGAGGCATTTTGGATGCAATCTTCTGCTACCAACATTTGCTTAAGGAAAGAAAAGAGCAACAAATGAAACTTCACAACTTTATTGCAAAAAACAAGAATTTCAGAAAAGTCAGAACCTTCATCACAAAAAATGAACTTTACGTTTCTGTGTGCATATGTTTATGTTTTATTTAACATATATTATTATACAAATTAATATAAAAATAAGTCAAAACTAAAGTAAAATTTGTTGATTTTTAGTTGCATGTTCCCCTATCCCTATTTACTCTATGTTAAAATGACCTTGTTTAACGCTGTTTCGCTTAGTGCTTTGTTGTCTAGGAATGCATCCCTCGCGTTAAGCGGGGTCTTACTGTACATGTATATTGATGGTTATAAAGTATCTCATTCATCTATTGTTCCTGAGATGTGTTATATATTGTAAGGTCCTCAGACACTCTTACCCCACATTAATGTCAGGATTATTTTGCTACTTCCCAGATACTACAATTGATTGCAGAGTTCCTTACTTCCAAGTTCTCTGTCTCTCAACTTCCTCTACCATCCCATACCCATAAGTTCTCCCAAATGTGACCACCCATGCACTAAAAAAGGTTCCTATGAGCTAAAAGTCATAGGTGGTGTCAGTCCTGACCAGAGGGTATGCCGTTTGATCTTTCGCACTTCTTAAGATGTTTAATTTTTGCATTTTCTCTAAACTTTCATTATGGCACTTACATCTTTTACAACCAAACCTTCAATTATTTATTTCCTCTTATTATTATTTATTTATGGCGTGAGCAAATAAAATCTAGTTTTTTTTCCAAAAAATGAGAGAAACATCAATCTAAAAACTAAAAATCAACAAACCTTCACTAAATGGAAATGCGAATGTTTTCAGCTGCCATTTTCTAGCCATTATCAGGTTTCAAATGAATATTTAAATAGAAACAGTAACAACATTCAATAAATAGAACATACACATTTAAATATCCAGAAATTACTTCTTTATTAATTCACTTCAATTATTTCAATTATTAATATTATTATACTAGTAGACTACACTTATTGCAGTGGTTATCAAACTTTTGGTTTGTAGTGCACTGTAAAATGTATAAAATTTTTCTGCTGTACTTCTTGTACAAAATTAAAAATATATTGATAAACTTTATATTATGAATAGCTATATAACTGTTATCTTAGGGGATGTAGCTTAGTTATTAGCTGATCATGATTGTAATAAATCTTTGTACAAATGAGTTTCTTCTCATTTTTAAAATATGCTTTCATAATATTTATGGCACACTTAGCCATCTCTTGTGACACCATTTGAGAAAATCATAATTATGGATATTGTTATCCATCATCTAATTTTATCAGAATTAACAATCCTATAACATGCAAATTAAAATATGCTGGTTATAATTATATTCAAATAAATAAACGTTTTCAAGATTTTTTTTTCACACTATCAGCCTCAACATATGACTGATAATACAAACTGACTATTAGTCTTAACCAGTGCTTTAATCATTTTAATTATTATTTCTTCACAATACAGTGATTTAACATATTTGCATTTCTTAACTCAATTACTTGCTAAATGTTGTTATTAAAGAGTATTACAAAACACTGCAAGCAAACAATACTAGATGAATCACTATTAATTAATTATAATTGTTATTATTAATTAATAGTGATTCATCTAGTATTGTTTAATTTATAAATTTTTTAGATGTTTTAACATGTCCTTTTAATGTCAAATCCAAGATCTCATAATTTTTACTAATTGTAGTTTTATTTACTTATCCCACTTAATGTTATTCTTCAATTATCAGTTTAGGTAAGTCCCAAAGTTATTACAATAAGTTAATATTCTACTATATTTTGAATATAAATTAATCTTAGATATAAATGGTCAATAAATATCTAACTTGTAAACTGCTTTCTATAAATATATCTTCTGTTTACTGTTTAATAAATCTAACTTAGTGTTAATCTTAATCATCTACCTACTAGCATTTCATGAATATTTTTATTGGCTTTGCCTTCTTCCAAATCAGTATTCTGATATAACTTGTGAAATGACAATAACTTCTTAACAGCATTTTGAACTATTCAATGTATTTTCTGTATAGATCATATATCAGATGTACTGTACAGCATAATAATGATTCTGTTCGTGTAGATACTAATAACATCTATTAAATCTTTCAATTTAATTTTCTTAAACATCTTTCTTCCATATTAGTCGCTGTTTGAATGATCAGTTTTTCTTCAAATTAGAACAACTTAGAAAACAAATTAGATGTTTCACTCATAATTATTCAAACATATATTAGAAAAGATTTCTTTGGAAAGTTAGAAATATTGATAAAATTTGAATGAAAAAATAATAAAGCTAATAAAGAAATGAACAAAAGTTCTTATATTGAAATATCTTAATATAGGGACTAAAATAATTCTGAATAAATATAAATGTAAGCCAAGAAAATACATAGTATAGAATACATTTCTGAGCATTTAGAAAAGATAAGAAATTCTTTAAAGTATGAAAATATATGAAATGCCATTGCATTTAAGAGTAGTGATAAAAGGATGTGTACATAAGAGAAATAAGAAGTACAATATCAACAGATTTCATGTTCTTCAGTCTTAAAAGACTGGAAAATACTTAATATCAGTAATGACATGCCGTCTTAGAAAATATTGTAATATTTTTTTAATAAATATGTATGTGTTTCAGAATAAAATTAAAATAATGAAAAATCTTAAAATGAAGTTATACATACAGAAGCATTAGAGACTATTCAAAGAGAATTTGCCAAGAAATCATTAATTAGTAAGATTTTAAGCTCAACCATTTGCAAGAGATTAGTTCTGCACAATAAATAGTTTGCAGAATTTATGTGAATTAATGCAAAAAAGTGTAAAGTTTCAGTTTTGAACATAGTAGTTTGTTGTGTTGAACATAGTAGGGAAATATAATTGCTTTTTGACAGGACAGATTAGATAGTAAATTATATTATCTAATTAAATCTCATTTTTACTAAAGCCAATTAAATCATGCTGTATATGCTGCTGCATGAATTGATCTCATGATTTTCAACTCAAAATTTTGGTGTAGATTTATCCCTGTCAAATAAATTCTCTCACTGTTAGATTAAACCATTTTCTGTTAATTTTCTCTTTAAAGCTAATGTTTATTTTATTTATTTATTATCTAATTTAATAAAGCTTATTTTTGCTGTTATTTTATCAGTGAATTATATGTCATGCAATAACAATGACAAAATAAATTAATTTTACTTACCATCCTGCAGTAATAGGTACATGTACAGCTCCATATCCTCGAACAACATCGTGTCCTAATGAATCTAAGCCATATACACTAATAACCAACTGTGGCCCTGTAAATGTGCATTATTAAACTATTGTACAACATTTGTTTACAGTTGAGTGATTATTCAAATACAATTCATTTTATTTTAAAGTAAAATCATTTTGACTTACAAATTTCAACAATAGCAACTTAAATTCTTAAACTGAATTTTAACTCTAGAATACAAAATTTACATAAAAATTTATTTTAGATATTAATAATTAAGGACAATCAAAAGCATTATAAGCATTAAAAGCATTTTTGGTTAATAACCTGTAAAAGGCCTCATGAAACATTATTTGCTGATGTGGACACCTTTAGAAGACATTTCAATAATTGGACTAATCATTAAAAAGAATTTGGGTAATATGAAATCACTAAAAAGCATTAAAGCATTTAAAGCAGTCAACAGTATATTTACAGGTCAAAATGGCATTCTAAAGCATTTCTATACTGAACCAGTGTGAAACTCAAACAAATGTGGTGCTGCTTAGTGACATAATTGCCAATTGTCTTACTTTTTCCATTTGTATTAAAATTAATATAATTTATTTTACATTTACAACAGAAAAAAATCATTTATCATAAAAAATTAATAATTATACTACATAATTTACATTTTACAAGATAAAAAAGACATTTTAATAATTGGTTGATGACAAGATTAAACTGTAAGCAGATGGAGTCACTGATAGATTTACTTTTGTGATTCATAGTGACTAGTTAGAGATTGGAAATCAGATAAATGTGATGCTGAACATAAGTATTTTTGCAAAAATGCAGTTGCATGAATTTCCAAATAAAGGCCTTACTATATAGTCAGGACATTTATACTGCAGTAATTGTCTTGAAATGACATCTTATGAGAAAAAATCTACTGTTCAATGACATGACTCTTTGGCAAAGCATATGAAACAAAAGACAGCATGACTAAATAATACCTTTCTCAATGAAGCAGTTAAAATTACTGCTAATTCTACTGTTTTACCTTTCAATTAATGTTTGATTAAAAAAGTATCATTTTCCAAGTATTTAGAAAATTTGTTTAGTCTTGTTAGGAAAAAGCATTTTAAAGCATAATTTGAATGTTACAAAAGCATTTTTTTTAATACACTAAAAGTATTTTGTGAATGTCCTTATTAATAATAATTTTATATCAAGATTGGAACAGAAGCAGCCATAAAAATTGCATAACCTGTGATATATATTAAAAGACATTCAACAGATGTGCCAAGTAGCATATTTAAACTGTGATTATGATTTATAATCATAACATAGGTAATGCAGGGTAGACACCAAGAAGAATAAACCAAAAAACTGTAATTCATTACTTATAATTTTAAAGTAAGAGTTAGTTTACACTGTAATTTCATCAATATAATATTGTTACTGAGCAGTGACACAAGAGCTTGCTGTTCACAGTTATGAAACAAAAACACAGTTCCAACCTAAGTAGGCCTGAAAAACATAACAAGAACAATTATCGTTCATTGATTGAGATCCTAAAACTACCTTAAGCCTCACTTAACAGCACTCTAGCATATAATGGATGAGTTCCTTCAAGTAGTCTATACCAAGTCATTATAACTAACTCTTCTAATATATACCTTTAGTTACTGTTTATTTTCATGCCTTGTCTCTGTAATTCTCATGCCCATAACATGCCAGAAGTTCTCAATATTGGGACTGTTACTTTGCCAATTTAGGCATTTGATCTGAATCTTTTGTAAAAACTTTTTTACCTAAACAATTTGTGTTAGTTTAAGTGACAATAATACTAACAAACCATAAAAAACATGTACTGTACTTTACTCATCATCTTGGCAAGGTGATATGGCACATCATACTGGAAGATACAGTATTTCATGCCAAAAAATATTCCTTAATTGTTGAAATTAGCTTGATACATAAGATGGTTTTGTAACATTCTGCATTCACCAACCCATTTATAAAGTATAGTCTGCCAATGCCTTTACTAAATATTCCTACATCATTTGACTCTATGGAAACTTTATTGTCTGCATCAAGCAGTCCTTGTTATAAGCATCACATTTTCTATGCATAACATGAAGTTTGCCATTAGATCCATGTAAGTTAATTTGACTCCAGTCCACATGCTATTTAGCCTAGATAAGCCCAACCTGCAATTATACTTGTCAATAATGGCTTCTTATGTGGACTGTAGGCTTTTAAACCCATGTTGCACAATTTATGCACTTGCATTTAAGCCTGTCTGCTCTTTCCACTTTCAGTTTGAAAGAACCAGCAATATATTTTTGTAGGCTGAGACAATTCAGCATCAATGGGACACATACATTTACTTCCTGATCCAGTTTTTCTTTCAAAGTTGCCATGTTCACATTTCCTTTGTACCAAATTGCACAGTTGTTGATGATAGTGTTCTATTTCATTCAGTGCTCTTCTTCAGCATCCAAAACAACAATTACAAATTTTTTATGCATTATTAACTGTTAAAAACAATCCTTTTGTTTATAAAAATGCACTATCTTTATACAAATTTTTATACCAATGGACAATGCAATGACTAGAAACATTGTTGCAGTTGATTTTGTCAGTCAATTAAAAGCATTCTCTTGTTTAAGATAGAATGGATGGTGCAATCTTCAAATTTTTTGCAGATCTGTAGCAAAAATGATACTTTAAATAGACATTTTTTAAAATAAGATTTTACAGATGATGTAATTTCCATGGCCACTACTGCAATTGACATATTAATTAAATAATACTAAAATAATTAAAATATAGATACAATAAAGCAAATTTTGAAAACGAAATAGAAAATCATACATTTAATAAAACCTACAGACTAAGCCTAATTTAATAAAGAAATAGAATTATTGACTTGCTGCATTTTTGACTGATACTAAACACACTAATCAATAATATCCTAAGTTTAAAGATGTTAAATTACAAAGTTAATTTAAAATAAATTCCACATAAACAAAGATAAACTTCAAACTGTACATTCATTAGCTAGAAAAGTAACATGGTTCCATATATGAGGGGGACCACAAAGAAACCGGATTTTTTGTATAAAAACTTTATTAAATAATTTTTTTACAAAATTCCTTCAGTCACCTTCAAATTACTCTCCATTAGATGTGATTCACTTGTCAAGTCTTTTTTCCCACTGTTTCAAGCATCTCTGGAACTTTCAATCTTGATATCGTTTAGTGCCCTTAGCAAAGCTGTTTTTATCGCCTTTGTATCATCAAAACGCTTCCCTTTTAGATTTTTCTTAATTCTTAGAAACAGAAAAAAGTCACATGGGGCTAGGTCTGGTGAATATGGAGGGTGAGGAATGACAGGCCATCCCCAAGAGGCCAAATAGTGGGTCACTCGTAAGGCCGTGTATGCGGGGGCGTTGTCGTGATGAAGGAACCAGTCACCTGATCGCCAAAGTTCCAGGCGTTTCCTTCGCACATCCTCTCGCAGACGTCTTAACACTTTTTTGGCAGAATTTTCAAGATGTTGAAGGATGGCAAGAACTTTGCAGGTGGAACAAAATAACAGTAAGAGAAACACAACACTATGCTCAAATGTAAACCTACAAACTGATGCCGTTTGCACGGCTGTTTCGTGAAGGTCTCTACTAACCCCATGTAACGGGAGAACTCTACTACGTCTACGAATGGCAGCGCACTCTCAGTTCGGCATTTTTTGGGTCCCCCCTCGTATATTACATGATGCTTATGAAATTATTTTCAATATTCAAATTTCATACATAACAATTTTATTAAAATTTCTATTTAAATACTATTCTATTTGCATTTCTATTTATTTCTGAAGTTATTATTCTGCAATAATGAGAAGTATTTTGAACTGTTATTAAATATTTATTTTAAAAACTTAAATCTTGATTTTAATATCAATAAAATGATTTTAAATTTAATATTTTATATAAATACAGTATGTGTATTTGTATTATCAAATGAAATAGTAATGCATTTAATCAAACATTTAATTTATAAATGCCATTCATTTTTTTTTAATTCACCATGTTTACAATTTAAAACAAGCTTTTTCTTCACTTTTAAGTAATAAGAAAATTCATATAGTTTCAAATAAAATGACAAAATCACAATGTTTCAGAAGCGTTATTGACTTAACATTTGCGAAAGATATAATGAAAATATTGCTTACGATATTTGTAATTTTTTAATACTTGTTAAAAAACATATTTATTTTAATAATTTATATTGATTATTAATGTTAAAAGTTCAAATATTAATTTGTTTTTGAAATGTCATACTGCTTAACAATTGCCAATGGATTAGTTTGAAAGTGTCAAAATATTTTGACAGAATGTAAAACAATTAGAGATTTCTAAAAATAAATTTAATAATATATTTTATACTATGATTTGATGTAAAACATTTGATTGTTTATATTAAACTAACTTATAAAATTATATTTTTAATTTGGTGATGGATTAAACTAAAAACTATCTTCTGATGTTAAAATTTAATAGTGAAAAATAATTTTTGATTTGATATTTTGTGTATGTGATCTGCCTAAATTACTAAATTAAATAGTCACTTAAACTTATACATAAATTATGTACAGTACTTAAATATCTTACATCCAAATGGATTGGTTGTTTTAAAAGAGATATCAAGTGGAAAATTCCAAATAAATAGTTGTCTTTCATCTCTACTTTTTTTAGTCAACTGGGAAATACCTTCTTCTAAACCCTGAAATAAAAAAATATGAAAAAATTGAAAAATGCAGAATTTTTTAAAATAGAATATTATAATTAAAAATATGCTAGAAAGAGAAATTTAAAATATGTTTTTCAATTTTTATATGTAAATATTTAGCATTTTGTCATGAACCATCTTGAAACAAATAATTTTAAGTATTATGCTGAAGTGCAGGGTTAAAATTCAAAATATCATATATTTTAGAAATAACAAGTAAATAAAAGTCATTCAACATAATTTCAAAATACAGTGGAACCTCGCTTAATGAGCACCTCTCATAACCAGGGGCGCCGCTAGCTGTTTGAATGCCCGTGTGCAATACCGATTATGCCGCCCCCTGTTTAACTACGACTACCTACGCTGAGCTTGCCAGAAAGGCTCTTTGCCGCCCCCCCTGGACGTGCTGCCCGCGTGTGGTGCACGCCTTGCACGCCCGCTTACGGCGGCCCTGCTCATAATGAGTAATTTACATAATGAGCAAAACAAATTGTAAAGAAATGACTCGCTTAATGAACAACGTTTCACATAAGTGATGAGAAGAGGGGAAGTCCCAGATTGTGCACATGCTACATCAGTCTGTGTTTAGCACTTATTCCGCTAGCATCATAGTGTCACTTGTGATCACACATTTTCCCAAACTTATGTTCAGACATATTATATATAAGCATCAACAACCATAGCCCATTACTGTATATAATAAACATGCCAAACGATATGCCAAATTCTTGGGCTATGTAAAGGCTATAAATATTAAAAATTAAATAATTTGACTAGAGATAAGCAGTTACGCTGCCATCTCATATTAAGTTTAATGACCAATTTCAAATTAAATAAAATTTTTTTTTTAATTTTCTGAAAATCAAATTCGCATTCTGGGTTGGTTCATTTTGCACTAGAAGAAAAGATGATGATCATTCACACTCCTTAACAATGTATATTGTATAATTTCCTTTAAATAAACATTATACATAAAATATTTGAGTATTTTTTTGGCATGAAATGCATTACTGTATTGTATATTACACTGATTTATATGGGAAAAATTGTTTCGCATTACGAGCAAGATTCTGGAACAAATTGTGCTCATGAAGCAAGGTTCTATTGTATATAATCCACACTTTTCATTTGACATGGTAAAGTTTTTTCTGTAATTTGCAAATAAAATGACTTATTTTGGAGAAAGAATTATTTCCTGCTAAAAATGTATATAAAAATAAATATGTTTTTCTCATATGCATTTATCTGATTCAATTAGATAAAAAATTATCATTTAAGTTAATGATAGTTAATTCTGATACTATAAAATATCCTGTTTTCTTTGACATAAATTTGAAGAAGAAATTTTCAGTAACTTTATTTCAATATGCATTTTAGCCATTTGATCTTCCTCATTTGAAAAGATTCTCAATTGTTCCATATTTCACTTACCATTGGCAATATAAATTAATCAACAGTCAATGTATCTAAATTCTTACATTTTTGAAAGTATATAAAAACAACCATCTCCAAAAAATCATTTTATTCTTAAAGAATTTTTCATTTTCTCAAAATAATTTTCCATGTCAGCATTCACAGCATTCAATCTACATGTAAATGGAAAACTATAGGATAATTATAGACAAGCCAAACCCAGTTCACATGTTCAGAGAATCAAATTTCCACTCGAGAGTATGATTGAAAAGTAGTTAATTTCAGAAACTGATAAAGTGTCAAGAATCTGTGGACAGTTATCCAAGAATTACTATAATTACCTAAGTTCATTTGATAGCAAGACAATATAAATAAAAGCTAGATAACTTTCTTTATCTAGCTGTAAGTTACTTTATAGTTCTAATGATATATAGTTATATATAATAAATATATTTATAGTTCAATTACTAAGATAACTATTTTAACATTTTTATATTAAGTTATAATATATGATAAGTTTTACAGCTATATATTCATGCATATGTGTGAAATAAATTTTATAATTTTATATGCTACAGAAATGAAATGGAAGGATATACATTTTCATTTGATATATATAAAATAATACTTTATACTCACAGATGTAATCACCCAGTCTTGTCCATGAACAAAGAAATATTTACAATAAATATCATCAAATTCAGCAAACTGAAAATAATATTTTTTTATACATTATAAAATTATGTAATTTTAATAATAATAAATATTTTATTTTAAATCAAATGAAATCAAAATTACAGAAAGATTTTATAAAGTCCATTTAGTACTTCAGATAGATATAGTCTATAAATTATGGCATAATCAAAAACCTACAAAATTCTCTTTTGGGATACACTCTTTCATATTTTATGAAATGCATTTTGGAATTTTTGTCCTTTCTTCAACTATGCTTTTAATATCTATATAAAGGTATCCCTTGCTTATTGCAGTTTTGCTTAACGTCAGATTTCATTAATGCAAAAATTAATTGTGGCAATCCCTTTTTGTATGTGGCTTTAACAGCTGTCTTTACTTAACTTATATATGTTTTTCTTGGCAAATAAGGTGTTTGTGAATTTGCTATTTTCATTTATTAAAATAAAACTATTTGTTATTAACTGAAAATTTGTTCTACCAGGTGGTGATTGTTCAGTCAAGTACAAAGATACCACTGTACTTGATTAATACAATTTTGATATATGTGGTAGCATCAAGTAATTAGTTAACTGCATTAATCAAGAGATACCTATATATATATATATATTGTCATAATATAATATAAGTTATAATGTATTTAGATGTGTTATATTCCAGACCCCAACTATTTTTTGTATATAAATTATAATTCTGTATTTTGATAATTAAAACTGTAATATAAGTGTAATACAGTAGAACCTCGATTATCCGCCCCCCGATCAACCGACCGTCCTAGTCGGCAAATTTCAAATGTCCGCTAGTGATGTGGCGCTACAATAGTGACGATTATTATTTTTAAAAATTTTTGTTAGGCTTAACATCGATGAAAATTCAACGCAAAATAGGTTAATAGCGATATACTAATATACTAATTACATGGGATATAATAATATACAGTGGTACCTCAGGTTACGAACGCCCCAGCATACGAAATTTTCAGGATACGACATGAAATTCGAACATATTTTTTGCTCCACGATACGAACAAAAACTCACCATACGACGTTACATTAGTTCGCATTTTTCATTTGTTTTTCTTACTACAGTTATTTTTTTAATGTATTACTTGGCTTTAATTTGAGTATGTTTTTCGCGTTGGAACGAATTATTTGGTTTTACATGTAATCGTATGGGAAAAGATGATCCACCTTACGACATTTTCATGATACGATCTCAGTTTCGGAACGGATTAATTTCGTATCCTGAGGTACCACTGTATAT